AAAAAAAAAATGAAACAATTTCTTTTTTTTTTCTTCTAGCGTGGATCGAATGATTTGTTCATGTCGTTATCCGGAAATACAAGTGGTTGTGGAAGTTTGTTAGCGTCAACTTTACGTGACGTTACATTAAATAATCAAGCTAAGAAGGTATGTTCATTTTAAACATATAATTTTGCTTTTTGTTTTTTTTTTTTAGAATTTTGATTGCAATAAAAAATGTAATTCTGGTAAAATTTTTCATTTCAGTAGAAATATAATTTTAATCTTTTTTTTGAAATTTAATTTTGATAAAAATATAATTTTAATTTCGATAAAAACAATTTTAATTTCCATAAAAATAAAGTTTAAATTTCGATAAAAATATGATTTTGATTTCTGTAAAAATATAATTTAAATTTCGATAAAAACATAATTTTGATTTCTGATAAAAATATAATTTTATCTTCTTTTCTTTTTAAATTTTAATATTGATAAAAAGACATTTTTGATATAATTGTGACATCGATAAAAATATAATTTTAAGTTTTCTTATTATTTACGAATTTTTTTTTTCAAATTGCTAATAATAAGAATTAAAATTATAATTATCAAATTAAAATTACTATAAAAAAAGAAACGATTTTTTTTTTCCATGATATTAACAAAAAAGAAAAAGCGTTTTTTTTTTTATTTCTTTTTTTGATATTTGTTAATTAATTTATTAAAATGAAATAATTTTGAAAGGAAAGTGAAGAAAAAAAAGAAAGGAAAAAGGAACAATTTTAGGCTAAATTAGATCATTCAGTGAATAATTTATTAACAACAGCTACTGGAATGGTATTATCATCAACAACACAACAGCAACTTCTATCTGCAGTTGCATTTGCAAATGGTGCACAATTTTTGCAAAATTCTGCACTTCTTAATCAACCATTCACTAATACCACAACAACAACAACTATTAATAGTATTACTTTAATATTATTTTTATAATTAAATTAAAAAAAAATAAGCGGAATTTATTTATTATCACTTTTCATTTG